CCTGTCCCCTTCCCCAGCGGAGCACGCCAAGTTCCACCCATCACAATCCAGCACGTACCAGGTGGTGGGGACCCCCTTCTCCATCCAGTACGGGACCGGCAGCTTGACGGGAGTCATCGGATCCGACCAAGTAGTTGTGAGTCACCTTTGGTTCCTCCTGCTCTGGACAACGTCCCTGGGGGTTGCCTGTAGCCTCAGCACCACCACTGCGCCTCCTCCCTGCAGGTCGAGGGCCTCACCGTGAGCAACCAGCAGTTTGCAGAGAGCGTCAGTGAGCCGGGAAAGGCCTTTGTGGACGCGGCGTTCGACGGGATCCTGGGGCTGGCGTATCCCTCGCTGGCCGTGGGAGGTGTCACCCCCGTCTTCGACAACATGATGGCACAAAATCTGGTGGAGCTGCCCATGTTCTCCGTCTACTTGAGCGCGTACGGACGTGGCTTTGCTCCGGGATGTGGCTGAGACTCGGGCGTTGCTTTTAGGGAGCAGGAGGGGCTGCTAAAATGAAGATGGTTTACTAAGATAGTAAAGGGCTTTTTCATCGTGGAATCAGGGAATGGGTTGGGCTGGAAGGGACCTTAATGCTCATCCAGTTCCACGGGCAGGGACACCTTCCGCTAGAGCAGGTTGCTCCAAGCCCCTGTGTCCAACCTGGCCTTGAACACTGCCAGGGATGGGGCAGCCACAGCTTCTCTGGGCTTCCTTATATCCAGCCTAAATCTGCCCTCTTTTGGTACCATGCTGAGCATCACAGGCTGCAGGAATAAAGGGAATAACCCAAAGCATTTGTGGGAAGCAAGTGGGTATAAATCCATGTGTTTAAAACGAGATGTGCAAAGTAAAAGGGAGGAAATCCCTCATTTCTCCTCCTTCTCTCTCCAGGAACCCCGAATCATCCCTGGGAGGAGAACTGCTCTTTGGTGGCTTTGACCCTTCCCGCTTCACGGGGACCCTCAACTGGGTGCCGGTCACCCAGCAAGGGTACTGGCAGATCCAGCTGGACAAGTGAGTCCAGGGCAGGGAGGGAAGGGCTGGGCTGGGGCAGAGGAGCAGGGTGAGTCCTTCATGCTCCTTCTCTCTTGCCTCCTCCTCCTCCAGCGTCCAGCTCGGTGGGTCAGTGACTTTCTGCACCAACGGCTGCCAGGCCATCGTGGACACGGGCACTTCGCTCATCACAGGTCCCACCAAGGATATAAAGGAGTTGCAAGGCTCTATTGGTGCCTCTCCTGTGGATGGGGAGGTGAGAGCGACGGTGGGGAGCGGAGGGGGCAGACCCTGGGGCCCCCCGCGCCCCGTGGGGCAGCAGGGTTGAGCTGCGGCTGGTTTTGAGAATCGCAGCCTCGGCGCGATGCCTGACGTGACCTTCACCATCAACGGGCTGCCCTACACGCTCAGCGCCCAGGCCTACACCCTCATGGTACGGCTGCGGTGCCACCAGCACCCCAATTCCCAGTGTCCCAGAGGGTGACGGGCTCCATGGGACCCGCAGTCACCATTGCTGCGTGTTTCCATGTGCTCTTGGGTGCGTGTCCAGCTTTACACTTCTACTTCCAGGAAGACGGTG